TTAGTAGCTTCGACACATTCTTCTGTATTAACTATCTTGATATGGATTCACGAGTGATATTTGGTTGGGTAAATGATGTCTATTCGACACCACAAGACCCTGGACCTATTGTGTGGCCGCCATCGCCAGAGACTCGTGGTCGCTGCCTACAGCGATTACAATGGCAACGGCAACAGCAGAGCCGCCCTTCTGCAGAGGCTAGACCCAGACCTGGAACCACCCACTACCACAACCAGACGGGAAGGATGATGCCGAGAGATTCCGCTCATAAATCATTACGCCTCGATGATGCGAAGTCTATCATTAATGAAATCGATTACCATCCAGAGCCCCAGAAAGATAACAATAGGAGCAGTGGCTCGAACTATGATGTTAAGGAAGATCTACTTGCCACGCCTCGGCCGCCCCCTTCGTCTACGAATTCGACGTCCCGATCTAAGTCTATGTTTTCTACACTAGGCGGTTCTTCTATTTCGCTCCCCCGGCCGCAGTCTCCGACCCGCCACTCACAATCTACACATTCAACCCATACACGATCCAGAAGCCCTATAAAGCAACTCTTCGATCTAGTAAAGCTCAAGAAACCCGTACTCTGGGAGGACTTCTCAACATCCCAGTTACGTGTTAGAATGGAAAATTACAACTCGAGAGCTCTATTAGATTCTATCTATGAGGCGCTTCAGATCGGGTATCTGCCCATGGAGCTAAAGGACATTCTAAGTAAAGAGACGCTTTTCGGGATTCCTATCGATATACTTTACGCAAAGCGGCCCCCAAGACCAATTAATGCGCTGCAGCTACAACAGGCTTCTTTCTTGGTAGGCACTATATCTGGCTCATCGCACCCACCTGTCCGACATGACGAACCTAGCAAAGTAGGCGAATATTTGCCCAATTTCATCCATGTTCAATCGCTTCTTTCAGAGCTCGAGATCCTTCGTGCTATCGTAGCTGCATCAAAAGATCATGATACGATTCCACGAACGGAGGCAAGTTGGAACGAATATGTGCACGGACCTATGCTCAATCTCGCTGTTCAAGATATTCCAGGCGTCAGGGTTGAGAACGTTACTCGCGCTAATATCGCAAAAGAGTTTCTCCCTCCGACCTCTATTGAACACATGTCTCTCCCTCCCGACAGTAAGCTGATCGACTACGCTATGGTTCTACAGCCTCTAAATGCCGAAGCTAGCGCTAGAGACGTTCGCGGCGGCAACGGACTAATTAATAGACGCATGGACAGTTTTGTCGCGCAGCTCGAATATCTAAGCTTCAATCAATCACCCTATCCACCATTATGCACAATGCCATCGGGTATCTTCATTGGGACTAAGGCAGGCATCAACTCAATCGAGGCCAAAACCCAGCTAGGCATGTGGTTAGCCTCATGGTATGGCCGCGTCTCTAGGTTTCCATGCATAAACGACAGCGTATTGCCTCCGCCTATACTCCCCGTCCTTATCGTCGAGGCCACCTTATGGAGGCTCTATTTCGCATTTGATATGGGTTCACATTATGACGTCTGCGGCCCTATCAACATTGGTGGAACAGAAGACCTTCACGCCGCGTATCGCCTACTCGCAGTCCTGCGTATTTTGGCTCAGTGGATGAAGACCGACTTTTCCAACTGGGTCGAGAATTGTCTACAGCAAGCCGGCGTTTAAAGGTCATGATGAGGGCTATGTTAGGGGCGGTGTTGCCAGATTAAACGGGAAAATGACGAATGGGTGAGAAGTAATAATGGTAAATCTGTTTCGGCTAGTGTTGACTACATGTTAATTAGCTCCGATATGGCATAGATTTCTGCGTTCTTATGGTCAACCGTCCCCCTCTGCCTCTCCTTCGCCTCCCCCATACCCCTCGGGTTTCCCACAACTGCCTAACATTAGTCCCCCTTAGACGCAAGCCTCTCATACCCTTGGGCTCAGTTCCTAGCTAACTAGATACTAGTTAGTAAGTAGATAAGAAGTAAACCTACCTATGCTACTCTATCATGGCCTTCCTCGGGCAATCCAAGTTCTACGAAATCATAAGCTACTTTGGTTGGCATCTTTCCAAACGCTACTGCTGCGGCGATGGGGAGCCAGTCTTGTCTAAGCCTCATATAGTTTATGTGGTAGCCGAAACATGGCCATGCTACTTGTGTCGATGTCTAAATAGAGAGGGGGCTAATATTTCGGGAGACCACCCGTAATAATAATATGACATCTATACGTCACACTCTAATAAGGGCTCAATAGGGGCTAAAGCTAACAGCTCGCTGCCTTTGGACTCTCCTCACAGCGGCCATCTATAGCGCTTACCAGGAAATACGGTAATTAATACCACACTAAGCGAATGTAACTGTTCTGGTACTATGAGTACGGCGGTATAAAAGATTCTATGTTGGAATCCTTGAGCTTATAGTCCTAGAGAGTTCTATAGCAACTCTTCAACATTTATATGTAACAATGTTTCCCAGAATCCCCAAAAGCTCAATATCTTATAATCCATTATTCATATCTCTCTTGGGATGATTCTAGTCTTTCAATATAGATGCCTTCATAACCACCAAGGCAATAGCTCATGGATTCTTAGTAGACTTGACTTCATTTTAAGTTACTTTTAGCTAGCTTAGGTGGAATCAAATTTTCTTTCTCCTTAGCTCTATGTTAAAACATTTATGCAATTATTTTAGTTAATACTAATGTCTTTGGTCGTATCTATATTAGATATAAAGATTATGCTGATACTGGATAGGCGTAATAAGCCCTCATGAACACAATATAAATTTCTCTACATCAACGTCGTTAGACTTTCGTGGCGTTATAGCCCCTACTGTATTGGTGGCTTTGGACAAGCGGAATTGTCAAATTGTCACTCGAGGAGTATGAAAACACACAAAGGTAGATATAATATTTATTTTTGCCACATACTATTAAGCGCTAAGTCTTCGACTTCTTCTATCACTCTCCTTTTCTCACTTGATTAACACTTGGAGGATGGGTCTGGTACTTATACTGGGGGACTACCTCGTATTTGTATGGCGTAGGATCGTCGTAAAGCTGTATCCGAGTAGGATTGCCCTTCGCATCGAATTCTATTGGGTACCGGGGCATTTTGATATGTAATCAAGGCGTTTTACTTTTTGAGTTAAACTATTGCTCGTAAATTGAAAATGTAGTTCACTTGCTATTTGCTAGCATTGGTTTGTTCTCTTTTTTTTTCTTAGAAATTATCATTATATAAGCAGCTTATAGCTAATAGAGACTTCAATCAATGTAAACAAGTCGGAGAAAACTATTGCGCGCTCAGAGTAACGTAAAGTTAGTTCTAAATCAACGCTAACTTATTAATCAAGGAGTTTCTATAACTCCACTTTAGTCTCAAAGACAATAATCCATTAGCCTGAGACGAGAACAAAGATAATTACCTGTGAAAGAAATATATTGGGCGATATGAGACTTGACGTTGCCATTACACCTACAAAGAGTACATCAATTTATTTCAGAAAGAAACAATCCAAATCTACTTAGGTATCACGAATATGGCGAGAAATTACGGCAGCGAGTCAGTTTACAAGAGCAGGCCATACCATGCCTTGTATATGTCCGATGATGAAGGGGAGGATGATGACTTGTGCGTGTGGAACCTCGAGAGCGAGTACGAACCCCTAGCAGGGCATTTTAAAAAGGATGGAACTGAATCCAACACAAAAGGGAGCAATAATCAGCCCGAGAAAGCCAAGAGCGCTGAGAGATCAACGCCGAGTACAGCGACTAGCACATCGCAAGCACCAAACAAGGGAGTCAAGGGGCAAGTGCAGGCCGCAGGTATCCCACCAAGCAGTATTGATCTCGAGACTGGTAAATTGACTGAAGCGGCGTTCCGTGAGCGAGAAGTTCAATATGCGCTCTCCACAACCCGGAGGAATCTAACGCATGCATCACAATTCTTACTCAAGCTCGAGGCCCGTGCGGGCAAGACTACAAAGGAAAGCATACGGCAAACTCTTGACGCGACGGCCAAAGACGCGAATTACGACTTTAGCGCGTGTGGCACCGACGGAGGCCCCCCAGACGCGGATCATAAGAGCGAGATTGAAGAGATCAAGCAACTATCAAGAGAGCTGTATAATCGCTTATATCTAATCGATCGACACTGGCGTCGCCTAGCACGAGAAACACGCGATTCTCAAGGGCGGAGCCCCAGCATAAGCATCCTCAGCGAGGGGGATATAAAGGAATGGATCAAAGTCGAGATCAATTCGAACCACCTTGCAACAGAAGACACGTGCTTCTACACGGTTGCCGATCTAACGGCACATCGTAGCTTTCGAGACTGGATCACATACCTACAGAAGCTATGCAACTTCGGTGACCATCCCGTTGAACAAGCAAAGTTGGTGGAACTCGCATGGAGATTTCTAGATCGCAATTTGCGGGGACCGCTACCTGTAAACCCTACCACCGTCGAGCAATTCATTGCTGATCTTGATGCAAGGCGCAGAAGCGGCATTTGGGACGAAATACGCAAAAATCCGAAAAAACAGGAACAAGACGATGCGGAGGCCTGGAGAGCAATGAGAAAATATTGGTCTTCAAGAACAGCCCCGGCTTAACAGAGATTGGATTTGATCTAGCATCTTAGATTAATACTTCCCCTTAGATACCATCTACTTACATAGTTAGAAAAATTCAAAGACTTATATTTATATGCCCTACATCAATTCCATAATATGCCCATCGCAGTAAGGCGCACAAGCAACTACTCTCTTCCAATTTTAAGCTATTTATTATATATGTAATTTCCATTATTTCATAATGTGGTGACTCTGCTAAGATGCGCACGCCTTTGGTACAAATCTCAACAGCAAAGAGGATCATAGGCGGCCCCATTCACTACCTACACGCTAATATTCACCAACACAAACAACAAACAATAGGGTGACAATCCACATGTATTGATAAGGGACAGTAGGCAATTGCTAATTCAACTTGGGAAAGAAACTAGAGAAATCGGCCCGGTTGGTGTAGTGGAAAGCACACTCAGAACACATTGCTTGCTTTTCTGTTCTTGGTTCCGGTCCTTATACAGTTCCAATTCTTACAGTTTCAACATTTCTTTCCAATCTGAGAGACCTTGGTTCAATTCCAAGACCGGGCGACTGTTTTCTTCCGTCTTCCTTCTATTTTTTCTTATTCTTTTTTTTTTTTTTTTTTTTTTTTTTTTTTTTTTTTTTTTCGCTCTTTAGATCCACATCCAAGCACACTCTGCAACAAGAATATGTTGTCTATAAAAAAACAATGCATTTTCTTTGCTGATACCTTTGGGACAAAGCCCTTGAATTTACAAAAGGGAGGATTAGACCTTGTTTAAAAACGCTAGCAAAGTAACAATAGTTTATGCATTGTTAGCATACCGAGCCCTTGCCTCTATCCCGCCCAATTTCTTTAAAATCGCAACAAGACATAATAAACAATAGATTCAAAACATATTATAATTGTTGTTGTCCCATTCGTACCTCCATTTCAGGGCTCCTGATTTTTCGAACCTTTTTCATATTTGCTTAACCCTATGTTCAGGGGCTCAAAAAGACTTATTGATATTCATTCTTATCAATCGAATTCTCAATACAATGTCAAGACCGGTTTCTATACCTCTAGAATTGACACCTCTCATGGCTGGTTCCAGGGAAGAGGGTTATTCAACTATGAAACCTCAGCTACGCCTAGTCATCCCACCATATAAAGGCCCCTCAACTGCAGTGATCACATCAGAAGGCGGTTTCATACCCGCAATGGACGAGACGGATGATAGTAGCGCATCAGAGAGCTATACAACAGAGTCAAGGGGGGCCCACTGTGAGTACTGCCTTGACCAAGGACTTGACCACAACCTTCAAACCGGTGAAGAGAAATGTATGACAGCCGAAAGAAGGGGCGACGTAGCCGCCGTTTACGTGTGGTTTTATCTTCATCTGATTGGTGTGCTTCTAATTCTGCTACTCATCCTTCTATCTAGAGCCTACATGCATACAAAGCTAGATAAGAAATACGCTGGACAGCTACACCGGTTATACCCTCCCATAGCTCCATAGATAGGTTGTTTTATTTATAAACAAAATAATAAAATAACATAAGTCCTCTATACACACGGAAATATACTCATTTTAGCAGTCACATTGTTGGTAGCTGATGGCTACTTAAGGGAAGGTGCACTGTTCTATACTGGTACAATTCTCTCCCCGTTGGTCCACCTTCATCTCTTCCATTTCTCCCATCCTTCTTTCTTCTACCTACCTAATTCATTGTAGACCTTTAGGTACCTAGACACAAGCTACTTGAAAACAACAACCACTCGTCGCGTACGTTCAAGAGAACTAATCCCCTCCTAATATTTTTCTCATAGTACTTAATCTTCCCACACTCTTCACGTTTTTCGTATCAATCTAGGACCTACGTAGTTCGTTGTTGGCCTCACTTATATCTTCTTCCATACTAACCAACCGAGCATTGGAGTCATCTTCATGCGCGTACATCTAGGACTCCTCCAACTCTAGAACCCGATCCTTAGGCTGTGCACACTCCTCTCATCACATATACTTCACTTGCACTTTACCTAAGCTTGCTCCTAATCACAACAACTTGATGGTTTATTCATCTACTCACCCAAAGCCATCATCACTACATACTTCATTCCTACCCGCAACTTGGATCGGCCTAACGAGTTCAGTAGCAATATCTTTCTGTTTGGCCCTGAGTCCTTTCCCAAACAGCTATTGTTGTACCTCATCCTAGGACAGAGCCGGCACTTTCCGTAAACATTCCTTATTATCTCGATATCTACATCCGCATCCACACTCTTACCTTGACTCTTGCATCTATTTACACTTCACAAAGACGTAGACGATACTAAGAATGAATTATCACGATCTCGAATCAATCTTATGAACACACCTTACATCAATTCCTCATTCCCACGTTCTCACGTTATCCTTTTGCAGAGCAGCGGGCAGCACCTATTAACACTCCAAAGAGGCAAGCACAATCGTGCCTCAACCCCCAGGTAGTAGTAGAGATTACATCCCAAGTTGACCGGGTCTACATCTTGTATACCTACCATTCACAGCTCCTAGGCTACTAGTATCATTCCCCTCTACGCTCCCTTCGATCCCAACGCCCATATCCATCATTCGCCCTACTGCACTAATCTAGAGCTGCTTAGGCTGAGCTACATTCATATCTTAGGGAACTCATAATACCAACGGCTATCTACGTATGATAATTAACCAAACATCCGAATCGCCAAAAGAGTTTCTCTTCTTGACTGCATAATTTTCTAATAGGTATGTTTTTCGTCGTCCTTCATCCCCCACTTTCATTATACTGGCCTAGTCTCACTTAAATACTGAGTTCTACCCGTGGTCCTATCACTAAACATATGTTCAGCAGTATTTGAGTTACAATTATTTATTGGAACTACTCCCATTTCATTAGGCTTTACTATTTACCAGTATCATGTCGGAGCATGAGTCGCAGAGCGGGGATAGAGATGGATCTGCAGTTGACGATCAAGTCAACAAGTCCTCTAATAACGGCCAAGAATTTCCATGGAAAACAAAGTACCATAGCAACGATGAGCATCGAATTTTCGTCAAAGAAGTCGCGTTAGAAGACGGTATTGAACAATGTGAAAAACTTATCGATGAGATCAGAGAATCTTTTGACAATATCGAGAACCTCGATGACGCCTTCGCAAGATCCATATGGTCTCTAGACACCCGAAAACAGTGGATATCAGATTGCGGTAAGCATCCATCAACAGGAAGTGTGATCAACGGCTCACGATGAAGCTAGAGGATATCATCAAGACCCACCAGGATTTCAGGGTGTTAGTCGGCGTCACTGGACGTACTGGCAGCGGGAAAACATCGGCCCTGAACGCTGTACTCGGCTTTCAAGAATTATTGCCTACAAGCAACGAGGAGGCTTCTACAGCCGTACCATGCAAGATCGAATACAATCACGACAATGACCCTTCCCGCGCCTTTCGTTGCCAAGTTACTTTTCGAAAGAAGGCGGATTTGAGAAAACAACTAGACGATTTCTTCGAAGATATAATACATAGAAACGAATTAAGAGGCATACCCGGACGTTCGCACGAAGATGAACACGCTCTACGTAACTACAATGCTCAGCTCAAGCCAACATTTGAACTGATCAAAACTGTGTTTGGGATCGACGAAGAGCAAGCCGAAGAGATGAACGCTCAAACTATTCTGAGTTCTAGGCCCGAGGTTCTCTCGCTGCTGGGAACAACAAAGAAATTTCATCATCATGAGTCCAAGGGCATTTCGGATAAAATAAAGCCATATATGGACTCAACAGAGGCCGACCACGGCAAAACGGGCTTGCATTTCGCAGCATGGCCTTTGATTGACGAAGTAGCGTTGTTCGCTAAATCAGACATTCTAAAGAACGGAGTTGTGCTTGTGGACCTCCCAGGGGTTGCAGACGCAGTGGAAAGTCGTGCTGCAGTTGGAGAAAGGTATTTCGGTAAACTGGCTGCTCTTCTCATTATGGTTGAAGTTAAACGAGCTGCAAGTGACTCAAGTAACGTCAGTATTATGTCGAAGCATCACGAAATGGCCATGATGATGGATGGCAAATTCCATAGACGGAGATTATGCGTTTGTGTGACACAGATTGACTTGCTTGACCGTCCAGCTGCATTGAGAAAGAAGGATGCGAGAGACAACAATACTCTCCAATCCTTGCTTCGCCGAGAACAAGCCACTAGGGAGAAGAGACAGGAGAGAGAATCGAAGAAAAAAGAAGCGGATAAACTGTTGAAAAGCCTCGAGAAAACCCTCAAAAGAAAGGGAGAAGCATCGGGAAAAGCAAAAGCAAAAGGGAAAGTAAAGAAGGTTAAAAAGAGCGGTATGCTAACTCTATCCCTAAAAAGAAATGAATACTAACGAAGAATAAACTGTCTACAGCTCAGGCTGAAGCAAATGCTAAGTTGGTGGAACGGCGGAAATACTGTCGTAAGATAGACCACCAAGTACTTCTACTAAAGGAGGAGATAAACGAGCTCGCTAGTGAGATTCAGTTTATTTGTATCAAGGCCAGAAACGTCTATCTCGAGCCAAAACTACAAAAACATTTTGCAGAACGCCAAGCCCGACTGCTAAATCCAAACGAAGATAGGCTAATGGAGGCTTACGACGGGAAGGCCTCTATCTGTCCGATTAGTGCGAAGGCATTCTGGGAATGTCGTCAAGGGCAGGATCCCATGATTGGGTTTCCCGATGAGACCTACTCAGGGATACCTAATCTTGCCACTTGGATTCGGACGGCGACCATCCCAGAACGAGAGGAGCATGCTGACGTGTTATTCAATAGACTACGAACTAAGTACAACGTCGTTCGGCTGTGGTCGAGGGATGAGTGGAATCGCAGCCGGATCAAAATCAGCCGAGAATGTTTTGAAAGAAACGTCATAGATTCAGCCTTCGCACTAATGATACAGGTAATGTGCCATAAGCGTTCAATCGTGAGACGGATTTTACCTAATGAATTATAGGCTTTCGATGGATATTGGAGAAGATTAGGCAAGACGATTGAAAAAAAGAATCCCTTGAACAATAAGAACGGCTCATTCGAGAAATGCTCACAGCAGTGCGCAGACGCCGTGGTAAAGTGGACTTATAGGAACCCGGACGATGATACTTCATCTGGTCAGATTCACTGGCTTACTTATCGAGCTATGATTAAAAGAAAAGGCGCAAAGTTCATAAGCAAATCGGGCGATACTACTCGGGAATACGATTGGATGCAAGACATGTGAGTTAAGAGCCCCAAGAATCGAAACCTGCTAATTAATACGTACAGTTCTCACGTTCTCTTGAATAAAATCGTGAAGGAGTGGAATCAATCTCTCAATCACGATATCCCTGCCCTGGCTACGTTGGCATCTCCCGAGATTGACAAAATCTGGGGCGATTTTCTTCAGTGTCTAGAAATTGGGGTTAAAGATTTCAATATGAGCATGTGGAAAGACTTACAAGGTGAAATTTCTGCCATAGAAGACATTAAGGATGGTGTAAAGGATCAATTGCGCCGCGTTCTAAGGGATATTTCTCGCGGGGCGACCAAAATACA